GGGATTCCGTCACCGGCACTGTCATCGCAATATTTACCGGCGTTAAAAGGCGAAAGGAAAGCACGGCCTGTTACCATTAAATCTGTACCAAACATCGTGGCACTAATTTAAATAAACGGCGTAATACTTAGACACTCGTTCGCTCACTTATTCGCTCACTCACTCACTCGTCCACACACACACACACTCTCACCACAAGACGCCTGGACATCCGGCGAGCTACGCCAGAGCCACCGACACCGAACACGGTCGACCAGCGACACCAGCAACGACCACCCCGCCGGCCGGGGCGGGACGAACGTCCACCGACCGACGGGGCTCGGATCACAACATTTCCTNAGAAAATATCTTATTGATGTTTGTCATACTAATGCCCAAAGATGCCTCAATCTTCCGGTATGTCACATAACGATCTTGCTTTATCAGTTCACGCATAGCATCGATATTTTCTGGCACAACAACCGATTTGGGACGACCTTCACGGAATTCGTCCTGGAGTGAACGTCGGCCACTATTGAATTCGTTATATCAGTCGACTTATAAATATTTTTACAGTGCTGTAGGATGGTGCTTTCTTGCTGTATAAAGAATTAAGTTAATCGATGCACTCTTGTCTTGATAATCCACGTCGAAAGTTATGAAAAATAATCGCACGAAAATGTTCACGCGTTAATTCCATTTTTTGCCCGACATGAATTTTTCAATTCACTGTAAACAACACAAATCGCGCTCAAATGACAATGTTCTTATGTTCTTATGTTCAACAATGTCAAATTTCCAATGACAACGTCAGATGGCGCCTGGCAACACTTACTGCTACCAAGGCCAGAAATATAAATAGCTACCTACGTAGTGGATGCGCTTCCGCTCCGTCGTCGCGTGCGGCGGCATCGTCACCACCAAGTCCTGCCTGTTGACTTTGCCTGGTTTCCAAATTTTGTGTAACGCTAAGGTTGACGATACTTTGAGAATTCATAACTCAGAAAATTTCCATCGAAAAGGGACTTGAAACTAGTAATTACTACATGGGCTGAAAAGTCCCGGGATTTTTCAGTAGGTGGCGCCACTAGAAAATGAACATGATTTATTTCGAGAGGTTCATCTGTCACTAGTTTATGTGTGAAGTTTCATGACATTTCGTTCATTCGTTTACAAGCTACAGTCGTTTAAGTGTCGCTATCTTCGCCTTCGTAAAAAAATAGAAAAACAGGAATATCGCATATTGATCAATCATTGTTTTTTGTTGGAAAAAACTCCTGAACATTCAATGAAATGGTTGAAGAAATGTTATCCCACATCTGCTCCTTCGAGAACAACAGTTTATCGATGGTTTAGTGAATTTAAAATGGGTCGTACAAGCACCGAAGACGCTCTGGAAGACCAAAAGAGGCTACGAATGTGGAAATCGTAAAGCAAGTGCATCGAATCGTTTTGAGTGATCGTAAAGTGAAGTTGCGCGAGTTAGCTGAGGCCGTTGGTATCTCAAAAGAATGGGTAAGATACATTTTGCACGATGTTTTGGGTATGAAAAAGCTATCTGCGCGATGGGTGCCGCGTTTGCTGACCGTCGATCAAAAACAGCAGCGCGTTGATGATTCAACGACCGGTTTGGCATTGTTGCAGCGTAATCGAGCGGACTTTTTTCGACGTTTTGTGACGATGGATGAAACGTGGATCCATTACCATACGCCTGAGTCCAATAGGCAGTCTGCAGAGTGGCTGAAAAGCCACGAAAGCCGACCAAAGCGGCCAAAAGACCAACGCTCGGCCGGGGAGGTTTTGGCCTCCGTTTTTTGGGATGCACATGGCATAATCTTCATCGATTACCTGCAGAAGGGAAGAACAATTACGGGAGAGTATTATGCAGCGTTATTGGACAAACTGAACGAAGGAATAAAGAAAAAACGGCCCCATATGGCGAAGAAAACAGTTCTGTACCATCATAATAACGCATCATCACACATGTTCTTGAAAGCGATGGCCAAATTGGACCAATTACGATTCGAATTGGTTGCTCACCCGCCGTATTCTCCAGATTTGACACCCAGCGACTATTATCTGTTCCCAAACCTCAAGCGGTGGCTCCAGGGAAAGAGATTCACATCGAATGAGGGAGTCATCGCGGAAACCGAGGCGTATTTCGAAGGCTTGGACATTTCGTACTACAGAAAGAGCATCGAAATGTTGGAAAATCGCTATACTAAGTGTATCGCACTCGAAAGCAACTATGTTAAGTAATAAATATAACTTTGCCCAAAACCGCTTGTTTTCATTAAAAATCCCGGGACTTTTCAGCCCATGTAGTAGTTTGATTCTCGGGTGTCATCGCGGAGATTAAACGTTTTGACAGTAACAGAAATATTATTTTCTTGCCATCGAATTTTATTCTGGTTCTTATATCTAGCGCTTATATTTAGTTACAACAACTCAGATTTTGTCCAATATCATTAGTAATTAGCTAAATAGCGAATATGTAACGCGTGTCCATGTATAATAAACACAAAAAGACTTTTTGGAAACATGTAATTATAAATTTCCACACCCTTATGATAAAATTTGTATATTAGTTATATCGAAAAGTACTAATAATCATAATTAAACAATACTTTTTGGAAACTTATGATTATGGTTATATAAATTAACTAAACCGATATCCTTATATTTGGCCGAGAATTGCCGTAATCGAAACTGAAACCAAAATTTCGGTCCGACACTACTTACATGTAAATCAGTATGTCGTGTTGCCATTGCAGAGGCGTACATTTAAGAGTACGTACGATAGAGCCGAGTTGCGCGGCGCGCTCTTATTCACTTACGCGTGCACCAGCAGTAACCCGGTATACTTCTCTTCATATAAATGAGACACGATATACATATTTGGCCTATCGCTTCCTGTATGTTCATTAGTTCATATAAAATAATAAATTTCTCATTAATTTAAGCAAATTTTGAAAAATTGAGCATGACTTCCTTATTCAGCTTAACTAGTTCTACATATATATAGTACTTGACGAAAAAGATTCAGACATTCTGTATAGACAATACGAAAGACGTTTATATAAATTGACAAAGTGATGTAATATCTAAAATGATTGACTCACAATCCAGAAGTCTAAAGGTTCAGCCCATCAGTGCTTGATCATTTAAAAAGCACGCGCGCAGTGGGATGTGCTAATTTTCGTGCCATAAGTGGCACGCGCGCCCAACTGTGTCAGAAAGAACTCACTTTTTCGTTAAAAATATATTGTTGAATTTAAAAAGTCACTAATTTTATGTTTTTGTTGTCAAGGAATACAAATTTTATGTCAAAATTAAATAATTCTCAATCCCTGATGAACCGTTTTCTGTTTAGAACATTAATTTAGTTTGTTTTGTCAAATTTATTTCCTCTACATTGATTTTTAGACTGAGATTATGCTTTTATAATATTTTTGTTAAGTCAACTGAAATTTTAATAATAATTTTCAAAAATTATAAGCACAGTTTACGTTCGTAACGTTTGAAATTGGAGCTAAGTGCAAATCGATCTTCCGAACATAGAAAAGAAATTGAAATCGTTTCGTGCGAAAATTGGTAGGATCGGGATCATTATTGGTGCTGACAGATCGAAATATTATTGTAGTGACCAGAATGCAACTTCAATTATTCGGATAAAGCGACTATAAGCGATAAGAACGTATAGACACATATATATGCGCATATGGCTGTTAAATTAATGTTAATCTTTTCGTGACGGCAATGTTAGTCATTGCTTACTCGGGTGGAAAGATTTTATTTAGTGGTACGTTGGAATAAATTTTACTGCCGAGTCCAATGATAAGCTGTTTTAAAGCCTCTTCAAAAGCCGGTTTAATTTCTTTGAAGATTGTTTTGGAGTTTTCGTTCAATAATCTATTCATCTCTTCACCTGCAATCAACGAAGTGTAGAAACAATTAATACATAAATAGTACGGAGAAGGTATAAACATAAAACTGTCCCACGTTTATAATCCATTTGTAAACAAATTAATTAAGGATAACAAAACTTATACCGTTGAACTACGAATATTGTAACTAGAAACTGGCTACGTTCTTCGAACGGATGTTTCAACACATTGGAATTATGACGAACGAATTATGTATACGGTTGAAAATCGTGTAGTATATAATATTGGCAATAAAAATGGTATTTATGTTAATAAGGATTATTACACAAGACTCCGTACATTGATATGAATTTGAATTACACAGACCGATATAACATCTTTAATAATAATATCTACACGGCCATCAAAATGTATCATATAAATATAATTTTATATTTTACATTTCTATTTTTGATTAATAATTCGTATTATTATCGTTTCTTTGAATAATATGCAATAGTGCGCACAAATATGTCAATATGATGCGAGAAATTAAAAAAATTCGAATAGCTTTCCTATTGTGTTACTAGAGATATTATGGTTATTATGCCGGTCTGTGTATACACTGCGCCATATACATGTAATTTCAAAACGGTCTGAACATATTTTTTCGATGTAGCTCGGTAGAAAGTCAATGGTCTAATAAAACATTTATTTTTCTTTAATTCCTAGAAGTAAAATTCTTTCATTGAACAATCAGCTGTGTTCCGAAAAAAATGTTAATACTGTGTTGACACCAATATTGTATACTTAATAATATAATATAATATAATTGTATACTTTCTACCATTATCTATACTAAAAGCAAAATTTATACAACTTTAAATCTTCGTATTTACGCATATAGGTGAATATCGTACAAACAACTTTTGTTATGTTGGTCAGGCATACTTTATGCTGTATGTACAGGAATAATATAGATATCGCTGCATAACGTACCTAACCTGGGATCCTTGTCGAAGAGATTTTCGAAATATACTTTTATATCTGTGTCTTTGATGTGAAAATCAAGTTTCTTGATCTTTATATAACTTTCTCCATGTCTCTCATACTTTTCGTACTTTACATCAACTGTCATCGTTGTGTTATCTGTAAATAATATGCGGGATCGATGATTGTCGACATTGCATTGAATGTTTGTCGCTAGGTAAATGAAAAAAAAAGCAGCCTCGCAATATTTTGATGTATGAAAATACATATAAATATGATATGATAATTACAAAGCGTCATTTTGCATTTGCCCTTTGCTTGAATTGTCATCAATAAAATTCTCCCATCAATTTCGTAGTCACAAGTTATGTTCAATTGAGGGTTAAAGATTTCCACGAAGTGTGCGAATGTATTTACGTCGAAACTATGGAAAGAAATATCAATTTCGGTTACATATATACATACATATATAAGAGGAGACCCACTGAAATAATTCGACTCGAGTTAAACGAAATCAATTTTAGGTTTGTATATAACTATTTAACTAATCTAATTTTTTCAGTGAAATTTTAAGGTTCTTTTATTCTCTTGTTCATAGTAGAGTAAATAGTTCATAGTAGAACAAGTAGAATAAGTTCAAAATGAAGCGATCATAAAGTTCAACACATTACCGGCCGTATTAATCGTCTGATTTACTGGAGATTTCAACAAAGGTTGAAATATTTGTATTATGCAATTGGATCAATTTTTTGGTAACTGAGAGAATATTTGTATCATACATATGGCTGAGTTTCAGTTTCTTTACTGTTGATATAAATTTTGTATTAGGTGGTAAACTTAGTTCCTGCAGTTTTTTTGTTTAAAAACTCATTTAATTCTACATCAAAAGCAAAAAATACATTAATCAAAGTATTTTCCCTCGCTAGCTATACATTTTTCCCATTTTTCGGGCAACGCGTAGATTCCGCGACGATAGAACGATTGGTCTT